AATGTTGTCACTTTTAAACATGCGTATAAACTGCAGTGCACGGGTGCTTGCTATTTCTGTCAGTTTAAATAGTATTTTTTTACATTGTGTATATTTAGACCTGAGAGCTATGTGAGAGATGCCCAACGGTGATAAAGTGATCTGCGTCTTTGACTATGACGGCAGGACACCTTTCACCTTTCATGTCCTCTGAGGTGTGACAGACCCCCTGATAGTCGGCCTGCATTGGCTGAGGCTGGCTGGGGCTGAATGGGAGAACTTGATTTTTATTATCATGCTGGTGATGAAACGTTGCACCAAGCCCGACAATTATTCTAACATTGATGGTATGGAGTTCCATTATAAAAATTTTGGCAATGGGGGAGAACGAACCACTGTTATCAAGCAGGATCTGATCAATCATGTAGGCGAGAGGGTGGTTGATGTATCTCAGTGCCCAAAATGCATATGTTCAGGAATGCAAATACCTTACATGCTTTGGATGCAGATAACACCCCATTCCTGCAATTATTTCCTCACACTGTTTAAGGAGAGTCAGACCCGTAAGGAGATAAACGGTGGTAAAAACACAAAAATTACAATTTAAGGATCACCTCAACCAGCTGCATATACTGTAAAGTTGATACTTTTACATTCCATCATAAACATTATGGCCTCACCTACAGATTCTTGCTACAAAGTGATCATGATATCATCCAGCGATGAGAGCGGGGAGTCTGAGGCATCTCATTCTCCAGCTCCACCTCCATCACTGGTCTCTGAGCGGGCAGAGGGGCCGCCAAACGAAGGTCTGCAGATTGCTCCTTGGGGATGACCAAGGTGATTTGAATTGTATTTCCACACTGGCCTTGTGCCAAGGGATGCTGACCTGTATAAAAGCATTGATAAGGGGGCTTGTAGCTATACTCATCAGCAGGCATCTGCAGAAACACTGCTATGGCTGTGAGGTCAATCACCCGAGTCAATGACAGCACCCTTGCTGTTTTTGCCTGAAAAAAATGATCTGTACAGTAAGTCCACTTTTATTCTTTGCTACGTGACATCCAGACTGATCGGCTGATCCCCACTTTGATACATGTTCTAGAGACCCTGGACATCCAAGTTCCAGTTAACAGGTTGGAGGGCACCATGGAAGCTTTTTTCTATGATCTACGAGAGTGACGAGATGGCATGTATGAAATTGCTAAACTGGAAGAGGTGGTGATTCAACACAATTCTGTACTTAAACCGATTGTGGAAGATTTTCTGGCTCGTTGGGAGGCTGACAACTAAAACCAGCTCGCAATGGGAAATGCTATTAGTAACGCCTTTCGTGAGTTCATATCCACTGTTGATGCATGCCTTGATAAAAAAGTCTGCCCTGAAAACAAATGAATTTTGGGATGTTTCGAGGGGTGATTACACATGTTGCTGATTTCATAGATTGTTATTTGACATCACTGGAGTCGGTGATTCTTATCACTGCAGAAAAGCATTACTTACCCAAGTGTTGGGAAGAGAAGAAACTCTGGAGTCTCACATGTCCTTGTCTGTCTTATATTCCTGTCAATGTATTTGATGGTAGTCACAGATTTATATTTTATGCCTTAATTGTACATGTCAATGCCCGTATCACTGAAAAACCCAATGCATTGATCTTATTGCTTGGAACGTCACTGAACAACTGTCACAGCTGTAAAGAATAAAAAAAAAAAAAAAACTGTACACACTTTTGAAAAACTATCTTCTGTGTCAGAATTTTTTAAAAACTACACCCTTTCGAAAGCATATTTTCTGTACAACCTTTAAAATAAAAAAAACTGTGATAAACGGCGCCCACCTATAAAACTCACCACCGTTGCTCTACCCCCAAGTCATTTATAAAAGTATGACTACGAAAGACTAAAGTCTGACTTAAACCAGACGTACTACAACCTCAGCCACCCTGTGCAGGCTGCAGAGATCCGCTGAGGAGCAAATGGGGGAGAAACTTGACAATGATGAGGTCACTGAGTGCCTATCCATGCAGGATACTTATACTTTGCACAGACTCACTAGAATTTTGTTTTCCAAGGAACAGAGTGTTTGTACCGAGACCCATGTATCAGTGACAGGCTGATTTATGTGACATGCAGGGGCTGGCAGTGTACAGTGATGGGTTAAAATATCTGCTCACGGTCATTGATGCGTTTTCCAAAAAGGCCAATGCATGCGCGTTAAAAGACAAGACAGAAGCGACTGTCATGGAAGCCTTTAATTCTTTTTTTTTTTTTTTTTAAACATATTTATTGGATTTTGTATTCATAAACATCTAACACTTTAAACATCTTGAACATATGGCAGTAAGAAAACAATAAAAACAACTTTAATGACACAAAAAAAAAGTACAGGTTACTGCGTACATTCCCAAATGCAGTCACAATTTTCATTACCTCACTCTCTATCCACTTCCTCAACTTCCCCATTTTTTAATAGTTCCAGAGACATCTTCCAAATGTCAAAAAATTCTGAAGATCTTTTCCTAACTACATAGGTCAGTTTCTCAAGAACTAAACTTGATGTTACATTGTTTAACCATTGGTCAAAAGAGGGGCCACCAACATTCTTCCAGCATACTGCAATACAACGTTTGGCATGGAGTAAGCAAAGGTCAACCATTTTTCTCTCTGTATGAGATAAATTACAGTCATCTGGATAAGTGCCTAAAATACAGACCTTTAGACTTAACGATACAGGGGAAGATGTGATCCGAGAAATATATTTTAACACTGAGCACCAAAACTTTTGAATCTCTTCACACTTCCACAAACAGTGGTACAATGAACCTTGGTGATTGGTACACTTATAATACATGTCCAGTATATTAGGATCAAATTTATTTAGTTTTACAGGGGAGACATACACTCACCTAAAGGATTATTAGGAACACCTGTTCAATTTCTCATTAATGCAATTATCTAATCAACCAATCACATGTCAGTTGCTTCAATGCATTTAGGGGTGTGGTCCTGGTCAAGACAATCTCCTGAACTCCAAATTGAATGTCAGAATGGGAAAGAAAGGTGATTTAAG